CGGCCCCCCCCCCCCTTGTACTCAGTTAGAACAGGAGAAAGCGTCAGAAGGCTTTTGCTGTTGCTCGCATTTGTATGAAAAATATTCCAATCAGACAACTCAAAGCCTTCTTTATCCAGAACATCCATAGGTTTTAGATTAGTGTGGCAGCGCGTATTGAATGAGTTGGCGAGCTGATCGGCCGAGCAATCACAAAACTTGGTCTGTAGATCCCTACAGAATCTCATTCAGATTGCCAAGGAAAGAACACCAAAAATCGTGATAATCTATATGTTCTTCAGACTTCTCTGAGGAAATCTTAACCCGCACAGAGTCTGTAACTGTAGGGTTCCAGTTTCTCGATGACCTAAGACCTCTCGACACAGAACAACCTAAGAAAATCGGAGCGGGAAGAGTAGTGCAGAATTATTGTTCAAGCCTTCTATATAGCAAGGCTGCGCAGTCGTGAAACCCAACATGGGAATCAGTTACAATGTCATGCACCTCCATCTATAATCGGGAGATCAGCTACAAATCAGAAGTCCGTTACTAAATCCCTCTATGAATGATTCTCCCATCCGAATTTCAAACGGTAGTTTCGTTGGAACAAGCCGCGTGGCATCGTAGCATTGCTCAATGACAGGAAGGTATGTACATCGAGATAATCATTACTGGGTTAAGGAACTCCAGCGGAATCTGTTCTGCAATTGATTCGTAGTCATTTGTTTGGCTCCTTTTTTTTACTGGGGAATTATTGTCACCTACGATGCTTCTATCTCCTGTATACGTATGCTGCTGAAGAGCAACGGTTCCTGTTCCCGCTTTTTATCTTTTTTCCCTTGCAGTAAGGTTCATTTACGCCTAGTTTCAAACTTTTGATGCTGAGATAATCGAGCACTTATCTTGATTGACTGTAATGCATTTACCCCTCTCTGCTATGCGCATAGGCCTTTACTTTCATTTATTCTGTTCAAAACTGGAGGAGATTTATTTGCCTTTTCGAGATGCGCCTCGCATTCGGCTGTCAACCTCCGAACATTGGGTGGGTTTAATAGTTGACCCATAATTCACATTGTAGACAAGAGCTGTGGTCCAGACCCGTCACTTTTCCCAAAAGACTGGTCTCACATCAGTCAGATGAACCTGAAAAATGTGGGCTTAGGCTTACGGGCAGGTATTGATCCATCGAAGTGCAAAGTGGTATTAACAAGCCACCGTAACCAATATCCTCAGAATTTTTTGGATTTTGTTTCTTTCATAATTTTAGTATGAGGCTGTGTACTGAGTATGTTTTCTTTCTAAGTTGTTCGAAAAACTGCAAAACCATGACATAAAAACAATTAAGAATATCGAGTTATGCGTATAAATGACCTCGTACAGCTCCACTTTTTCAGGGTGACCATTTTTGGTTTTTCATGGAAATTCCGTTATCCTACCGCTCAAAGTTCCAAAATGTTGAAAGCCAGTGAACCATAGCAGATGTCAGGAAATCTTTTTTCTTCAGCTCCCAGCTCGCCGCTTTCGTTTCTTCCGGTTCGAGAATGTGAACACGAGGAACAGCCCGAGCTTAAGGCCACAACCGAAGGCACTCTGCATCCCTTTGTTCAGTACTTATTAACCAAGATGTCTGAGTTCCAGGTAATGAAACTTCTTCTCTCCTAGGCCAAAGTATTGAATTGGTGGAACTCATTAGCTATTGACATACGGAATATCACGTGCCATTTTATATCAGCTTTTCAGAAGCGAGCTCTGAAAGTAACATGGAAGCGCTTGTCGGAGGCTCCGAAGACGTCTGGTCGTGGCACAATCCATATTATGGAGAAGGTATGCATTTCGATTGATAGTAACATGGTTGCTCACATTGGAGTTCGCATTCAAACGTTGTCAATGCGTTGAGTGGGCCCACGACTCTCGGGGAAGGTGGGAGTGCTCCTCCCTAACAACCTTAGCAGCTGACAACAAAGCAATCATTGTGATACTGACGTGTAGATTACAGAGAGAAAGCGTGTACCGCTCCACCTGAGGTCATCTGAAAAATGTCGACTGTAGACTGACCGAAAGAACATATTGAGGCTCTCTTCTTATCAATGGTGCTCTACAGAAAGCACTATTTTCGCTGACAGGCTCTCTTCTTATGGGTGTGCCCCGGAAGTTGGCAATACCTGAAGACCCTCTGAAAGAGCTACATTAACGAAGGGATGGGACAGACTTGGACTATGGGCTTGTGAGTACATCTACATATGGGCCATACATACGGACCCCTAGCATCGGTGAAGGGAGCATAATGGTATGGTGGTCGAATTTCCACAATGGACGAAATATAGCGAGATTAACGGAAGCGAAACTGTCTAGTTACAGTAGGGTTTCGATAGCCTTTTAAGGTTGCGATAGTGGTAATAGAGACTAACAAAGAATTAGTGATCGAACGGAGTTGAATGAAGTCTGCATCAGGGTGGACACAGTCGAAAATGGAAGTTCTTCGACAAATCATGTGCTAGAAGTTGGCACAGATGCCTTCAGAGACTATAGCGGACCAGGGTTCAAAAGTTCATAATAGGTGGGGATTGCCTTAGGGCAGGCGTGATAAAACTTGTAGAGATTTTACGAGACAACGGACAGGTTAAAGGAAAAACAATAGCGTCATAACTGCAAAAATACAGCCACTTGTAAGGAGTGAAAAAGCCAGCATAGAAATGAGTAGCTTAGTTCAGGATAGTACACAGATGAGGATGAGAAAAAAGGCAGGTGTAGCCTAAAAAAGTCAAGATGTCTAGTCAGGGTGTGCGAGAGGATGATGTGATGTTCTAGAGGGCGATTCCATTCAGGAATTCGTCAAAAATGAGGAAAGATGAAGCAGCTTAAATTTCGTGATTTCTATCTGTGCTACGAAAGATGTCGTGTTTTAAGCAGGGTGGCGAAAAAGAATATTACGTGTGACGTTCATCAAGAACATCCAAAGAAGGGGAATTCCCACAGGGGTAATCCTTTACTCGTTATCCGAAATCACGGGCTTACCGCCATCCCCGCGTATCTTCAACACACGACACACGCGTCTATTCCGGTCGTCCACGAACTGCCGCCGCTGAAACGTTGTGTGGCACATCCGAAGTGGGCTTTCCCTGCGGCAAGTACCGTTTTGAAGTCCTTTTTATACTTTTTCTACGAGCAAAGCTGCTGCCTCCTCATCGGCTCGCGCTGCATCTTCTTCGTAGGCAATGAGCGAAATGTGATTTTACCTCAAGTTATGTCGTTAAGATTTTCTTAACCCACGCTAAACAATTTAACCTCGGCCAGAAATGTCTGAAGGAAACAGATGAACAAATGAGCGCAGACGAATCACAATGCAGAAAGCTCCTGGTGCACACACCATTTATGGGAGGCCGATTTCACAGTGGGCGTTTTTGTTGTGTGAGTGCCTTCGAGGAGGTTTTACGGTGAGGCTTGCACCAAATTAACAGTATTCGAAATTATAAAAACAAGTCACCGTAATTTTTATTTGAAGACGAGCCAATCAGAAAAGAGTCGAGATTTTGGTTCATCTGTGAGATTTCCTTCTAGTAGAAAGACTGAGCTATAGTCCTATCCAGTTTCAGGTCTTTACGAAGTTGTGTGAATGCGAACCGCTCATCCCTGCTATTTTCTACCGATCGGCTTTTCTTTCATGCATTGAAGATCGAAGACGTCGTTGCTCTCGAGGACATTCCATAGCGACTATACGGTATCATAAAGAAAGCGTGAAGTGAAAATATGTGCGGCTTTCTCCTTGAATTGCTTGACATTCGAGCGGTTCGTATTCGAACTTGGACACTGGTTCTCTGCGTCGCGAATCATCGCAGTGATTCGGACAATATGCTCTTACAGTTCTTGCGTATACTTGAAATCTTATTCCCAATGAAGCTCCGTGTAAATAATTGGATTAAAGGTACAGTTCACAATAATTTTGAGGCACGTAGGGAAAATAGAGGTTGACGAGATTACCATGACGTAAATGACATGGAAGGGAAACTCGGACGAGATTTCAGTTGTTGCAATTGCGCAAAGAGCTGACTACATCATGCCAGAACTCTACTGAACTGCTTTTCACTGCCGCTATAGGTCATGACAAGTTGTCTGAACTTCCTACATGGGTCCCCTTGGGATCGGTGCAGCCTCTACATTGCCGGTAAAACTCATCCGCGGGTTCACACCAGCCAACCTTTGAGCCTTTATAACGCCCTAACTAGGCTGTTTTCCGACATGATAGGGCAAGACTTGGTTTAAGAGGGGCCTCAAAGTCATCCTCTGGGAAAATCCCAGGCGCCATTTTTATCGTAAACTGTGCTTTTAATCTCCTGATTTTCTGAGAAGAAGTACTTTTTTCAATTGGCTGAGGTCAAGGAGCCTACCGTGTCTTACCAATGTGGCCCCTCATTTCAGTGATCACGCTCATATACTCGTTGAGTATATAGACGCGATTATCCGCACAATGTTCGATGGGACTTCCCCTTCGGATAAATCAATGCTTGATCTGGAAAACGTTGGTGAGTTGATGACGCTTTTTTCCCCATCGTTTATGCATTGTGACAGGGTTATGCGCAACTAAGAAAGTATTATTATCAGTATTTGTAAAAAGTATTATTATATTTGTCAGTTTTCAACAGACAAAATTCGCTTGCAATTAGCGAGTGAAAAATGCACTGATCAAAATCAAATAAAATGAAATGAACTTCCAGATAAACCTTCTGAGTATCTGGATAGAATGTTAGGGCAGCACAATTGAAAATAGTGCCAACTTTATTGCTGAAAAACTGCGTCAATATGTTGGATCTCCAACGGGTATCGAAATGGCCGGTTGAACAACTGAACCTGAAAAATTTGAAAGCATCCTGAGAGATCACACAGTTCAGAATTTTGTGAGCCATCAACGACCCAACCTGTTTTCCTTTTGTTCAAGAGTTTTGAACAGAAAAGCTCGTTTCGCTCACCACCACAAGAGATCCTACGTTACATAATTTTCAAAGTGTGTCTGTTGGGGTGTCGGTTTGCGTGTTTGACCGGAAACTCATAGCTCCTGTTTCCGTGGGCCTGGAGAGTTCAAAAATTGGTAGGAATACGAGGGACAGGATGAACATACTCATGGCAGGTAGCAGAACCAAACTCCGCCTACAGGGGCGGGATGTGCACGATGGGAATTTTGGACCGCAAATTCATAACTCCTGTTTGCGTGGACCTAGAGCGCTGAAACTTGGTGAGAGTGTAGCAGGCAGGATAGGAACACTTATTTTAAGTGCCAGGATCGTAGTAGTCTTAGTAACAGCAGTAGTCGTAGTAGCAATTAACAACCTTGGTTATTCAGAGTTCTTTCAATGATTGGTGGGAAAATCCCTAGCATCAAGGGAAGCTCCCACGAACATCTCGTATTTATTATCCAGTCCATTCACACTGGTTTGTAACACCTTGCCAATCCATAACATCCAGGAATTTGGCATTGAACGGGTGGCGTTCATACCTCGTGGGTCCACATACTATTGGGTTGTCCGAAAAGTTCCCGCCGATTTTTGTTTCATCTTTGAATGGGAATGGAAATTCCTAGAAGAAGAAATCCAGTTGATTGAACAATATATCCTCCATTCTGTTGAGTAAGGATTCGCCATCTCCCTGTAGGTTCCAGTTCCCCTCTTCCATAGAAGCTTCCAGACTTAGAATCGAAAAACCCACTTAGGTGTTTTTTGCAGTCCTCCAGCGAATTGAACGATTTTCCATTCAAGGAATTTTGCAGAAACCCAAACAAGTGGTATTCTGATGGCGCTATGTTGGACTATATGGGGTGTGTGGTAAGACATCCCACCCGAGCTTTAGCAACTTTTGACGAGTGGCCAAAAATACGTGTGGTCTGGAGGTACCCTGTTGGAAGTTTACGCGCTCAAAACTGGCCACTTCGGGTCGTTTTTGGTCTATCGCTGCCTCCATATTTTCTAGCTAACTGAAGTACCTTTCCTTAGTCATCTTTTGATTGTGCGACAACAGCTCATGGCAAGTGATTTCCCTGAAATCCCATCAGCAACTCGGCATAGTCATCCGCACCTGGATTTTGACTATTGCAGCGGTTTGTGACGGCTCACTAGGGGGCTCCACGATCGTTTCCGTTCCTTATTGCTGTACACAATCCAATTTTCGTCCTCCGTGCTCATGCGTTTCAGAAACGGCTAATTTTTATTTCGTTTGAGCAACGAGTCGCACATGAAGGCGCGCTCCATCGCATTGCGCTCGCTCCTTTTGCCAGACATGTAAACATCAAAGCGCTTTACAAGATCAAGTGTTTGCAGATGACCATGATTGGTTATTTTCGAAACACTAAGCCCTTGTCCTACTCCACGAGCAGTGATGTGACGATTTGCTTCGGTTAACATTTTGAGTTGTTCGTTTAAACTGATGATAGTCTCCCTAAAGGTTGCCGGTCTTTGAAGGCAAATTCACTCCGTTTGGATTCCGCAAACTAGTCATGCACTGTACGCTCCTCTAGGGCATGGTCTACTCAAACGTCATATATCTTTCATGCGGCTTGAGCCGCATTCTAGGCCTTGCTGTAGAAGAAATACTTCAGATGCCGAAAATGCGCGCAGTAGTTCTCCATATTCATACGAGTCCTGTACAGTCAAACTTCGACAAATGTTGACAGAATCTTAACAGAAATATAGAGGAGGACCTACTCTTTCAGAAAACATATAACTTTATTAGGTTCGGTCCTTGATCTACGGAACAACGGTTTAAATCCGGGGTGTCAAAAATCGGCGGAAACTTTTCGGACAACCCAATAATTGGTGCTTAACGCGTATACATAGAAGGGTGAAAGCACTGGCATGTGCATCGGCTGGCCACCGCAGGCCATTGTGTAGGCCACATACGCATTCAATAGA